TGGGTAAGAGGCCAGGATGCTGCTAAACTTCCTGCAATGCACAGTACAGCCCCACCACAGAGGATTATCTCATCCAAAAAGCCAGCGGTGCAGAGATTGAGAAACGCTGGTTTAGCACTTCCCCGGAGTACTCTTCACCTTGGCTCCGTTCTCAGCTTCTCCAGTTCTAAGAGATCTGGGATCCACTTGTCCAGGGGTTTCAGGAAGGAACAGCTCAGCACCTAACACATTCCTAGGTTAGGGACCAGGGTCCGCGCTCAAGCTAAGGATCCGACAGCCACAGATAGTCATCAAGTTCCCACTATTCCACCTTCAGATTCACTGTCCCCATCCTTTCAAAGGAGGGTTCCTGTCTGGGGAGAAAATGCCTGTCAGTCCCATTGCTTACTATCACCCCAAAGCCTGCTCTATCTGTGCCCAGCTTAGGTTAGCTTCCAGATGTAGCCACAAGATGGCACCCCAACCCATCAGGTATGCTGAGGCTCTGGGCTTGGGAGAGCAGCATGTAAGATGTGCCAACCTGGGCAAAGGCCTGGGGGCTGGCTTTGGGCCAGTTCCAGAGCCTAGCAGGACTAGATCAAAGGCCTGCAAGTGCCAGGTGTGAGGACATAGGCCAAATTTGGCTTCAGGACTCCCTTAGCCTGTTTTCTAGTCCAGCCCCAGTTCAAGTCCCACCACCGATCTTCCTGAAGCCAGGCAACCCCTCCCCTCTAGTCTGAACAAGAGAAATTCCAGAGATGAGGTGTTACGATAGGGCTTATTATTATTTGTAGCCAACAATAAAGAAATTGAGGCATAGGGAGTTTGAGTAACTTGCCCAAGGTCACAGCTAGTCAGTGGTGGAGCTGGGATTTGAACCCAGGCAGTCTGGTTCTATGCTCATAACAACTGAACACCAACCACTTCATCAGTGCACTGCCCCCTGCCCACCCCACACCACTGATCCTAACGACCCTAGCATGGGACCACAAACTTTCCTCTCTGAAAGGGAGGGGACAAATGGCTAGGAGTAAGTGGGGTGGGGGTGGGGGGGGGTACGCCTCCAGAATGAAAAGGAATGAGGCTCTTGGCTGGGCTGAGGGTCTGTGGTTAGTGGTTGTGGGTGAGAAGCTAAGGCTCCATCAGCAATTCCTCCTTCCACCCCCTTTTCTCTGGGGCCTTTTTCCTTCTTGTCCTGTGGTGCCCTCTTGGTTTTTCTGGGCTGTCTGCAAATGCCAGCCTTCTTACAGTGTGAAGAGGGTGTGAGGAAAGAGACTTTTATGTCCCTGCTTAGGACAGAGAAGGTAGGAGGCATTCTTTGAGGCCTGTGCTGGGTGTGTCATCAAGGACAAAGGTGAGAATCCTAAAGTGGGACAGTGTGGGGTCCCTCAGGGGCAGCTCCCCTCTTCACCTGGGAGGCTCTTCTCTCTGAGCCTTCTCTGCTGGCCTCAGAGGGGACTTTAGGACGTGATGGATGTCCTCTGACACTCCCCTGCCCTCCAGCCCCGGCCTGCTTCTTTTCTAGCACATCCTGCAGGACCAGGCCTGACCTGAGCTCCTAATCACTCAACCTTCTCTCCGACCTTCTCCCTCTAGGAGCCCTGTGCCTCTCTCTGTCTTTCCCCTTTCTTCTCTCCACCATCTGGGCATAATTCCCCTTCCCGCTGTGACTCTCTGTGGGTAGTGGCGCAAGTGGGCTCCACACTGACACCCTGAGAGGCCCTGGCTAAGTCCCTTCCCCTGTCTCCATCTCAGTTAAGGACTCCAGACTCCTTTGGTCTCTGACACACTGGGATCCTAAGATCCTGGCCCCTCTCTTGGCCTTTCTCAGCTCATCCAGGCTTTGGATGAGGAGCTCCCTGTGCTCTGGGCACTGTGGAGGGAAGCAAACAAGAAGCATCCCTCGAGGGGCTGGTAGTCACTTTTTGGAAATAAGATGAACGACAGGGAAGGTTGCAGAGTTATACTTTGATCCCAGGTGGTCCCGCAGGAGAGGGAAGGGACGGAACCCAGGGTCCCTGTGGCTGTCAGAACCACCGAAGGTTTTCTAGGAGGTAAAGAGGAGTGACTATCCAGCTGGGAGGAAGGGAAGGTTCGGAGAGCTTCTTTCTTGTCTCTCCCCATCCTGATTTCTCCCAGCCCGGTGTATGTGTGCCTGCCTCTCTGTGGGCCTATCCTTTTCTTTTCCTTCTGGGGTGTCCATTTCTCTGTTTTATCACCTCATTGCTTTGGGGCAGAGCTTTCTGAGAACCTGTGTCGAGGATGTCTGAATTTGGGCTATGCTGAGCCACAGCAGGTCAGGCCTCCTCAAGGTGAGGAGATGAGGCTCACTGGTTGGGGTGAGAGGGAGACTCAAAGCACTCCCATCCCTGCGGTGTTCTGAGATTGCAGGGGGAATAGCTCCCATGTAGAGGAATAACACAGACCGATCTCTGGAGGGAGGACTGGCTCCTCCATCCTGGCCCCATACTCCAGCCTTCTCTTTAACTCTGCCCATCTCTTCCTGTTTCTGCCCTAACGCTGCCTGTCTTGTCTCTCCCCTTGTCCTTCTCTGCTATCCCTCACCTCTTGCCCTGCCCCTGGTCTCTCTCCAACCATCCCTGGTCTCTCTCCAAACCGTTCCCTCCACCACCCACAGATTTCCCCGGGGCTGGGATTCCCCTGGCCAAGTGAGGAGAGAGATGCCAGCAGCACCGCTTTGTCCCCAGGCCCACAATGGTGTCTGCGGGTCAGTGTCAAGGGACAGCTGTCTGCACAGTGAGCAAGTGCCGACAGGTAAATAAGAGGAATCTCGTGTCTTCTTAATTAAATCGCCCTTTGCCCAGGCAGTCTTGTGTTCGATTGGGCTGGGCTGAGATCAATAAGCCTCTTTCCCAGCACAGCCATCCCTGGAGCTGGGCCTGACCTTCCCAGCCCTGTCCGGGCCCACCTGCCCACTTCCCCACCAGCCTGGGAGCCCCTGGAGGGCAGGCTATCCTGCGCTCCTGTAGCCGGGGACAGAGCCTGGAACAAGCAGGGAGTAAAGGAGTGATTGCTTGTTTGAGTGAATGGAGCTATTGGCAACAAAAACTGGCCAGGAGGCCCAAACTGCTTCGCCTACTCCCAGGGTCATCTTTGAAGCTGCTCCCATCCAGCCCCAGACCCAGGACCTGCTTGCCAACCAGGGCAGCTGGAGTCCTGCGGTGAGAACAGGGATCATCAACCTTCAGCACCACCTTCGGACCTCTAAGGGTAGAGTGCCCCTCTCATAAGGGACCCCCAGGTAAGGATCCAGGGCTAGTGCGGGAGGATCAGTAAGCAGGATCAATATGGCAGAAGGTGTGGCACTCACAGGAGACTAGGGTCAGCCTGCAGTTATGAAAGCCCGGGGTCAGTAAGGGGTCGAAATGGGTTAATAAGCATCCAAGATGATTGGATTCTTAGTAGAGAGCTTAGAGGACAGCACGTGTGTTATATATGTGGAGGTGGGGGGGGGGGCATTTTGAGGTCTATGAGAGAGGGTCCCTTTGAAAGGTTCATGTTGGCTTCAGATCCAGTGGCAAGGGTCAGTATTCAAGGGTTGTTTGGAGCGGTGTCTCTCCTAGGGATGGGGCCTCTAAGGGATAAGACAGTCAGTCTCCAGTTTGAAAAGAGGAGGGCAGGTGCGACACTCCTCTCACCTCAGTCTGACCTGGGGAGGCTGACCTAGACGTCTCCGGGAGCCCTGGCCCATTCAGTGGCTTTCCCTTCCGGAAAAGTGAAGTTCTGACGGGTGCCCGGGAGCTGCAGGAGCCGTGCCGGGAGGGAGGGCGCCCCCAGCGCCGGAGTTGAGGAGGGAGGCCCAACTCCTTGAGAGGCTGGGAGGGGGCGCGGAAGCAGGGCTCTTTAGGACCCAGCGCGGCGCCTCCCTCCGGGGGCGAGTGCGGCTGCGCGCGCCGTGTGCCCGTGTCCGGAGAGCGGCGGGCTGGACGCGGACCGCGCGAGCGAGCAGGCGAGCAGGACAGCCAGGCAGCAGCCCGGGCGGCAGCAGCGTCGCGGCGGCGGCCGCTCCGCGCCTCCTCACCTTCCCTGGCCTCCCCGCGCCGCGCCGCGCCCCGACCTGCCACCCCCACCTCCCGGGCCCGACGGACCGCAGCCCCATCTCTTCGGCCGGCATCGCCAAGCGCCTGCCTGAAGCGGGGCGCGGAGCGCCAAGCGCAGAGGCACCGGAGCCCGTGCCCGGCGGCCCCGCAGACCGAATCCAGCCCGGAGAACCCCCGCGGGGCCCCACCAGGCTCCGCAACCGGGAGCTGTCCCTTCAGCACCGCAGCCGCCGGCGTCCGAGCGCAGCCCAGCGGAACCGCAGCTGGAGCCGGAGCTCAGCGCTCCGCACCGAGCAGCAGCGTCCCCGTGCCCCTGTCCGGGGGCCCCGCCATCTCCTCCGAGAGGCGGGGAGAAGGAGCGAGCAGGGCGGGCAGGCGGGCAGGCGCGCCCGCCGCCGGGGGGAGCAGGCAGCCAGGCAAGGAAAGAGGGAGGGGGCCGGAGCTCGCCCTGCGCCCCTATAGCTGCAGCCCCGCCGCGCAGGGAGGAAGGCAGCGGGCATCCATCTCCCCCGCGCCGCCGCCGAGAGAGAGCGCGCTGCGGCGGCGACCACTGCACAACGGAGCGCCAATCTCCCCTCCACCCTTCCTCCTCCTGGGGGCTGGTCTGTCCGCCTGGCTCCGGGAGCAGCTGACCTTACCCTCCAAAGCTTTTGTGTCACTTTTCTACATTTTCTCGGCTGAGATGGGGACGGCAGCCCGGTCCCCCCACCCCCTTTTCCCTCCTCCCGGCGGTGCTCTCCGCTGAGCGCCCACCCCTCCCTCTCTTCCTCCTTCCCTCTCTCCCGCCGCCCTCCTTTCCTCCTCCTCTGCTTCCTCCTCCGCAGCCGGACCAGCTCCCTCCTGCATCTGGCGCCTTAGAGACCCTTGGGATCATCCCGCACACTTTCCCAGCACCCCGACAAGAAACCTCCCCGAGGGGCTCAGGTCGCCGGAGCCGCTGTCTTCTGTACCCCTCCCCAACACCACCACCACCACCACCCCACCCCACCCCCGACGGCTGGGGGGAGAGGGGAGGAGGCCGCGCGCCCCCTCCCCGGCGCCAACTCCCCCTGGCGGCCGCTCCCATGGGTGTCGCTGGGCCACGCCATGCCTAAGGAGGCGCCGCGATGGGCCAGGGGGACGAGAGCGAGCGCATCGTGATCAACGTGGGCGGCACGCGCCACCAGACGTACCGCTCGACGCTGCGCACGCTGCCCGGCACGCGGCTCGCCTGGCTGGCGGAGCCCGACGCCCACAGCCACTTCGACTATGACCCGCGCGCCGACGAGTTCTTCTTCGACCGCCACCCCGGCGTCTTCGCGCACATCCTGAACTACTACCGCACGGGCAAGCTGCACTGCCCCGCGGACGTGTGCGGGCCGCTCTACGAGGAGGAGCTGGCCTTCTGGGGCATCGACGAGACGGACGTGGAGCCCTGCTGCTGGATGACCTACCGGCAGCACCGGGACGCGGAGGAGGCGCTGGACAGCTTCGGCGGGGCGCCCCTGGACAACAGCGCGGACGACGCGGACGCCGACGGCCCCGGGGACTCGGGCGACGGGGAGGACGAGCTGGAGATGACCAAGCGCCTGGCGCTCAGCGACTCTCCGGACGGGCGGCCCGGCGGCTTCTGGCGCCGCTGGCAGCCGCGCATCTGGGCGCTCTTTGAGGACCCCTACTCTTCTCGCTACGCTAGGGTAAGCGGCTTACCTGTTGGAAGATGGGGCGGGGGAGGGGGATGGAGGTGGGGGTTATTTCGATAACTAGGGAGTCAAAACTGAAAGGGGATGCGTGTGTTGTGTGTAAGGCAGGGGATGGTTTTTTTCCCCCCTCCCGAGGGTGACTAGGTTTGTATGTAGTAAGGTCTGAGTATTCCCAGATGTAATATGTATGAGCTAGTATGAATGGGTGTGTTTGTGTGTGTGTGAGTGGATTGTGTGTGCATATTTATGTAAATGGGGTGGTGTATATTTGGGTGGGTAAAGGATGTAGTGAGAAGGAGTGAGCATGTGTGAATGCTTGAGTGTGCAGGAGTGCCTGTGATGCGTGTGTGTGTGTGTGTGTGTGTGTGTGAGTGCAGATGAACACGGTGAAGGTCTTTGGGTGTAGTATGGGGAGGGAAGCTGGGCCCCCTTCCTTCTTGCCAGGTAAGGGCATCTGGGGCCAGCCAGGCCCATGGACAAGGGCTTGAGGCCTGAGTCTGCTGCTGGAGATGGACCTCCTCCCTCCCCAGGGAGCAGCCTCAGGCCATTCTGGAGGAGGTGGGCAAGGGGGGATCTTTATGGTTAATCGCTGGCTGGGAAGTTGGTATAGGACTCAGCTGCGGGGAGGTGGATATGACTCCTCTGAGACCTGATCCTGGGCACAGAGGCTGTCCTTCCTTGTCAGAAGGGCAGGGTATTGGAAGGGGGCAGAGAGAGGGTGTCCAAGGGGAGCCTACAAGGAGGAACCCTGTGAGGGAGTGGGTGTGTCTTCACCAGCCACCCCCCTTTTCATGATTGACCCCAGTTTGTTTCAGGGGAGAAAGGACATCTGACCTTGGCCCCTCAGGTGGCCTTTCTGGATCAGTTTCCTCATCTGTAAAATAGGAGATTGGGGGGTGGGGGGCTGGTGAATTCTAAGGGGTTTTGCTACTGAACTAAGCCCAAAAGGAAGACCCTGGCAGCAGCCACCTCCCTTGAAAGAGAGAACCCTTGCCTGCATTGGGCTCTGTCCTCAGAGGCCTGAGTGGAGCCTAAGGCATGAAGGAGAGGGTCAGAGTAGTCATTTAAAGCAGAGCCCCTCCCCCATCCACAGCCACCCCCACCCCCTTACCAGGCAAACCGATGACTCTGCCCACTCTTTCTTTACTGATCCACAGGCCTTCCCTCCCTCCCATTACAACTGAGGGGGAAGGATGGGGCGAGGGAGGGGGCAGGAGTGTCTGCTGAGCGGCTGGGGATCATCAGTGTGGGAAGGGGGCTTGGGGACACTGAGGTGTCCACTAGCAGAAAGAAGCTGTGTTTAGGCACAGGCCTGGTAGGTGTGTTACTGAGATAAACACTCAGTGTCTTAGCATCCTGTAAGGAGGGATTAGGAGGTCAGAATGTCATACATTAAAGCCTAGAATAGATGTGTGTGTGTGTGTGTGTGTGTGTGTGTGTGTGTGTGTGTGTGTTGTGGGTGGGAGATAATAGGGAGAAGGCCAAACTCCTCATGGTGCCCCTGAGGGCCCTGTCCAAGGTCACCTAGGGAGCTAGAAGCTTAAGCAGGACCAGAACCGGTCTCCTGGGACCTTGTCTTCCTCAGAAGCGCCATCCTCCTGGCCACCTTGGGCTCATCTTCAGGGCTTTGACCTATGTCCCTGAGTTTCAGAATTGGCAGGGGTCATGTGGGGCAGGTTCCAGCCCCCTCGCCTGTCCATCTTCTCCCGCTGAACATTCCTAGGCTGTGGGGTGGACTTCATCCAATGCAGATAAATGGGCTGACTAGTGGTGTGGAGGCTGGTTGGTGTACAAAACCTTATTTAAAAGCCCTGATTCTATCAAGTGTCCATTGAAGAGCAGACTTGGAGGGAAAAGCTGGGTAGCAGAGGGAATAGAGATAAGTTGGAAGGTTTCCCCCTCCCCCACCCAGCCGATCAATGCCACTGCCTTTTCTCCCCGGTAGCCTCTTAGAGTCGTTCCAACTTCCTTCAGTGACAAATGAGGACACCGGGGCCCACAGGGGGAGGGACCTGCCCAAGGACACACTGAACCGAGGGCAGAACCTGGATTAGAACCCAGGCTTCCTGCCGCCCGCCCTCCCTCCAGCAGGCCTCGCTGCATTGCGCTGCCTCTCTGCGGCTCATCTGCGCAGAGACCAGCCGGCTGCCCTCCCTCCCTCCCCCTCCATCTTTGCTCTGCTGCTGCTGCTGCTGTTGCTGCTGTCACCTTTGTTTACCCCTCCCCCTCAGCCCCTTCCAAGTGGTGGGATTTACTTTTTTTTTTTTTTTTTTAGATTTTAGGCCAAAACCTGTATGTGTGTGACATTGTATATGTGTGTGAAAGAAAAGCTGCAGGTGTGAGAGGATTTGTGCAAGAGAGATTCTTTATGGCTGTGAGAGACTCTTCACGTGTGTGAGAAAGACTGTATGCGAATGAAAATATGTGTGAGACTCGGGGTGTGACAGTGGTGCGTGTGATGAGACTGACTGTGACATCCTGTCATCTCTACACAGAGAAATTCTGTGTGAGTGTGAGAGACAGATTGTGTGTGTTTTGAGAGATGGACTTTGTGTGTGAGAATGAGACTGCGTGGGGAAGAGTGCGTACATGAGGAAAAGAGACTATATGTGTAAGAGAGATACTGTGTATGTGTGTGTGAGAGAGAGAGGAAGAGAGGGAGAGGGAGAGGGAAAGGGAGAGACATTCTTGAGAGAGCTTTGAGTCTTGAGGTGAGTGTGAGTGCACTGATGTGTGAAGCTGTGCATGTAAGGCTGTGTGGGGTGGGGAATCTGTGGGTGATACAGACTGTGTGAGAAACTGTCCGTGTTGGTGTGTGTGCTTGCATGTGAGATGTGAGAGATCTTGTGTTGCCTGGGTATGCGTGTTCCTTGAGGAAGATGAAACTGCAGACCAGCTTCCTGCTTGCTGCCTCGATCTCCTGGGACCTCTGAGCCGCCTTAGTGAGCAGTTTTGCTCCTCGTTTCCCATCAATAGAAATACTCTGTAGCCCCGGCCAGTTGTTGCATGGACCAGGTGGTGAGGCCACCTCACCCAGGCCTCGGCATTGTCTCGGGAAGATAGGGGCTCCTTGGCTGGGGTGGGAGGTCCCCTCTCTAGTGGTGACAGATCGCTGGTTCCCTGGCCTTCTCTCCTGTGGTTTTCTGGGCACCCAGGCTGAGGATATGAGGGGTGGGAAGGGGAGCTGGGACATAGTGAGCCCAGCTTGTATTCTGGGGCAGGGGATAGTGCCCCAGACACACACGAGGAAATGTGATGATGACACTATGTGGCGAGGGCTGTGAAGGAGCTTCCTGGGACTGAGAGAGTAAGAACTGTCCCAGAGGAGGTAATGCTGGGGAAGTTCAGAGGAGCAAGTAGGAATTAGCCGGGCAGATGGCAGGGAACAGCAGTCCCAGCATGCAAAGCCGTGGGAGGTGTGGGAGCGGCAGGACTGTGTTGAGGCGGCCTACCCTCCTCTCTTCCCTGGGGACAGGTGCAGGTCTGAGGCCTTTGGCTTTCATCTGTGATTTGCATGTTGTCATCAGGAACATAGTTCTGTGTCAGGTCAGGGTCAATGGTGGGCCCTGTGCCAGAGAGTATCCCTAGTGTGTGTGTATTTGTGTGTGTGTTGACATCTGTCCCCTAGAGTCACTTGACCTTCCAAAATGATGAGCAAATGCCAATGGAAACCCCTCCTCCATCCACTCCACTGCCCACCTCTCCTCCAACTCTAGGTCTTTGTCACTCTGTCTTGAACCCACCTCCATGGGGATGCCTCCTCAACTCCCTAGGAAGGAAATTCACCAGTTGCTGGGGTGAAGAGATTTCTGTTTCTCCCTTGGGTTCCAGCTGACATGGGACTCTTGGAGCCTTGGCTTGGCAGGCAGAGGGACTGGGGACAGAGCTGCAACCAGGGCCTTTCTAGGTAGCTTGCCTCTCTCACCTCGGAGCCCAGATCATGAAACCCATGCGCCATGGTGAGGGAGCCAACCCAAGGGCTCCCTGCCACAGTGTATCCCCCATTAGGTGCTCTCTCTCTCTCTCTCTCAGGATGCTTTCACAGGTGTACTCGTGTCTCTGAATGGTACCTTCGACCCCCAACCCCAGCTCCCATCCTAGTAAAGGAAGGCACAAACCCAGAATCTCCGAGTCAGAGTCTCAGCCTCCTCACCTTAAAATAGGCTTATGCCAGAACCCGCACCCAAAGGGCCTTGGAAAGATTTACTGAGGTAATATGTGGGAAGCCCCGAGCCACAGGGCCTGGCATGCAGGCAGTGCTCAGTAAATGTTGGCTGCTGATGTTACTCCTATCAGTTGTATTACCATTTTACTTCATGACTCTCTAGACTAGGGGTGTCGAACTCAATCAGAGAAGGGGCCAAAATCTAAAATCCAGCCTAAATCGCGGGCCGAATGGTTTACTGAACAGTCATAAACTGTCATTGTGATGGAAATGCAGCGGAGTGCAGTGATGACAGCGCGGTGCGGGCCACATTGCAAGGACTGGCGGGACGGATTTGGCCCGCGGGCCTTGTGTTTGACACATGTGCTCTAGACTCTATCCTTTGCCCTCTGTCTGCATGTCCTCCATCCTGCTTCAAGCCACCACTGTTTCTTTCCCTCAGGCAAACTCTCCAACAGCTTCCTGACTGCTCTCCCACCTCCAGTCTCTGCACCTACAAGTGCATCATCCGCTTGGCAATCACAAAGGTCTCCAACTCACAGATCTGACAGCTCACCTCCTCGCCTGCCTAACACCCTTTATTGCTCCCCCCAGCCCATAGCTGCCCGCCTCTTCAGTCTCCTCCGGCCTGGCTGTTCTCATCGCTCACCAAGCTCCAGCCACCACGGCCTCATTTCGGTTTCTTGCGTGTGCCAGGTCTGCCTGCTTCAGGGCCTTTGCAATCGCTGTTCCTTCTAGCTCACCCTTTCCTCCTGGTTTGCCTCTCATCATCCTTCGCACCCTGCTTCCAACATCAGTTCTGTGGTGACGCCCTCCCAGGCTCCACAGG